GGGACACTTCTGAGTCTAACCCTTCCATCATGTCGTTCACATATACCAAAAATAGCATTGGTCCTTGGACTGACCCCTGTGGGACCCCGCTCGTCACAGGTGCCCACTGTGATACCTCAGCACGTACCATGACTCGTTGTTCCCTCCCTGTCAGGTATTCTCTGATCCACTGCAGTGCCCTTCCTGTTATACGCACCTGATCCTCTAGCTTCTGCACTAATCTCTTGTGAGAAACTGTGTCAAAGGCCTTCTTGCAGTCCAAGAAGATGCAATCAACCCACCCGTCTCTCTCGTGTCTTACTTCTGTTACTTTATCATGAAACTCCAGTAGGTTTGTGACACAGGATTTGCCTTCCATAAATCTGCGCTGGTTGGCATTTATACTCTTGTTCTGTTCCAGGTGCTCCACCACTCTCCTGATAATCTTCTCTATGATTTTGCATACTATACACGTCAGTGACACTGGTCCGTAGTTTAGTGCCTCTTTTCTGTCTTCTTTTTTAAAAATGGGAACTACATTTGCCATCTTCCATAGCTGAGGTAGTTGCCCAGTTTCAAGGGATGTGTTGAAGATTGTGGTTAGTGTCACACAGAGTATTTCTGCTCCCTCTCTAAGGACCCATGGGGAGATGTTGACCGGTCCCATTGTGTATGTGTGTGTGTGTGTGTGTGTGTGTGTGTGTGTGTTGTGTGTGTGTGTGTGTGTGTGTGTGTGACTAAGAAGGGTTATCTCTTAAATTTGTGTATATTATACCAGCGATTAGATCTTTAGATTTTGCTGCCGAAGTGGCTGGTTTATTGTGCGCCCCATAACCATCCTGTAGAGGGTAGCGCAGGAGTATATGGATACACAAAAGGCCTAGTAACTAGGCCTCAAAAGGATTGACAGGAGTACATTTGGTTTTATGTCCAAGGTTCACCCATCAGTTACAAGCAAATTTAGAGAATTTGCTTAATATATTTGGTATCTCATTTTCATTAATTAGATATCTTGACATATCACATAAGTTATTATATTGTCTATCTCTATATTCATCAATAAGTGAACAATAAAGCACATAGTGTTCAAGATAATGACCATAGGACTGGCCACAAACTTTCCATTTAGTTTGATCATCGTCTGTGTGTTTGTCAAACTGTCAGAAGTACTTGTAACCAAGCGTAAGTCTGGCCACTACAACATCAGTCAGTTTGTTCACAGATCTACTCAGGCTTCTATCTGCATTCCTATAACATTCAACATCATTATTTACCTCTCTCCCAATATTATTCCTAATGCTAGACACAGACACACCAAAGTTATATCCTATATTTTCCTTCAAGGAACTTTTCTTGGCTACGTATCAACTTCAATCCATGACCGGATTTTTTATTATCTATATCCATTGCTTTTCCAATGAGCATGTTGTTAGAGTCGTTATGTGAGCCCAGTGGCCTCTTAAAGTCGCGTATACTGTATCAGTGGCCTCTTAAAGTCGCGTATACTGTATCAGTGGCCTCTTAAAGTCACGTATACTGTATCAGTGGCCTCTTTAAAACTGTTATATCAGTGGTTTATATAAAAAGAAGCGGTGTGTGCGTCCAGTTAAGTGGTGTTATTGTGTCAGCTGACTGTCTCTGGTACCTGTCTGCTGTGCCTTTGACAGTAATAGCAATAGCAGTATTAACAGTAGTAGTAGTAGTGTTGGTAATAGTAGTGGTAGTAATAGTATTAAAAAAACAGTGGTAGTATCAATACATGCAGTGTACTGCCATTCTGGTAGCCTTAGTATGTTAGATGTTGGCAATGGGGTAGTCTGGACATGTTAAGTGCTGGTAATGGGGTAGCCTGGACATGTTAGGTCCTGGTAATGGGGTAGCTTGGACATGTTAGGTGCTCGTAATGAGGTAGCCAGGACATGTTAGGTGTTGATAATGGGGTAGCCTGGACATGTTAAGTGCTGGTAATGGGGTAGCCTGGACATGTTAGGTGCTGGTAATGGGGTAGCCTGGACATGTTAGGTGCTGATAATGGGGTAGCCTGAAAATGTTAGATGCTGGTAATGGGGTAGCCTGGACATGTTAGGTGCTGATAATGGGGTAGCCTGAACATGTTAAGTGCTGGTAACTGGGTAGCCAGGACATGTTAAGTGCTGGTAATGGGGTAGCCTGGACATGTTAGGTCCTGGTAATGGGGTAGCTTGGACATGTTAGGTGCTCGTAATGAGGTAGCCAGGACATGTTAGGTGTTGATAATGGGGTAGCCTGGACATGTTAAGTGCTGGTAATGGGGTAGCCTGGACATGTTAGGTGCTGGTAATGGGGTAGCCTGGACATGTTAGGTGCTGATAATGGGGTAGCCTGAAAATGTTAGATGCTGGTAATGGGGTAGCCTGGATATGTTAGGTGCTGATAATGGGGTAGCCTGAACATGTTAAGTGCTGGTAACTGGGTAGCCAGGACATGTTAAGTGCTGGTAATGGGGTAGCCTGGACATGTTAGGTGCTGATAATGGGGTAGCCTGAACATGTTAGGTGCTGGTAATGGGGTAGCCTGGACATGTCAGGTGCTGGTAATGGGGTAGCCTGGACATGTTAGGTGTTGATAATGGGGTAGCCAGGGCATGTTAGGTTCTGGTAATTGGGTAGCCTGGACATGTTAGGTGCTGGTAATGGGGTAGCCTGGACATGTTAGGTGCTGGGAATGGGGTAGCCTGGACATGTTAGGTGCTGGGAATGGGGTAGCCAGGACATGTTAGGTGCTGATAATGGGGTAGCCTGGACATGTTAGGTGCTGGTAATGGGGTAGCCTGGACATGTTAAGTGCTGGTAATGGGGTAGCCAGGACATGTTAGGTGCTGGTAATGGGGTAGCTTGGACATGTTAGGTGCTGGTAATGGGGTAGCCTGGACATGTTAGGTGCTGGTAATGGGGTAGCCTGGACATGTTAGGTGCTGGTAATGGGGTAGCCTGGACATGTTAGGTGCTGGTAATGGGGTAGCCTGGACATGTTAGGGGCTGATAATGGGGTAGCCTGGACATGTTAGGTGCTGATAATGGGGGTAGCCTGGACATGTTAGGGGCTGGGTAATGGGGTAGCCTGGACATGTTAGGTGCTGGTAATGGGGTAGCCTGGACATGTTAGGTGCTGGTAATGGGGTAGCCTGGACATGTTAGGTGCTGGTAATGGGGTAGCCCTGGGCATGTTAGGTGCTGATAATGGGGTAGCCTGGACATGTTAAGTGCTGGTAATGGGGTAGCCTGGACATGTTAAGTGTTGGTAATGGGGTAGCCAGGACATGTTAGGTGCTGGTAATGGGGTAGCCTGGACATGTTAGGTGCTGGTAATGGGGTAGCCTGGACATGTTAAGTGCTGGTAACTGGGTACCCAGGACATGTTAAGTGCTGGTAATGGGGTAGACTGGACATGTTAAGTGGTGGTAACTGGGTAGCCAGGACATGTTAAGTGCTGGTAATGGGGTAGCCTGGACATGTTAGGTGCTGATAATGGGGTAGCCTGGACATGTTAGGTGCTGATAATGGGGTAGCTTGGACATGTTAGGTGCTGGTAATGGGGTAGCTTGGACATGTTAAGTGCTGATAATGGGGTAGCCTGGACATGTTAGGTGCTGGTAATGGGGTAGCCTGGACATGTTAAGTGCTGGTAACTGGGTAACCTGGACATGTTAAGTGCTGGTAATAGGGTAGCCTGGACATGTTAGGTGCTGGTAATGGGGTAGCCTGAACATGTTAGGTGCTGGTAATGGGGTAGCCTGGACATGTTAGGTGCTGGTAATGGGGTAGCCTGGACATGTTAGGTGCTGGTAATGGGGTAGCCTGGACATGTTAGGTGCTGATAATGGGGTAGCCTGGACATGTTAAGTGCTGGTAATGGGGTAGCTTGGACATGTTAAGTGCTGGTAATGGGGTAGCCTGGACATGTTAGGTGCTGGTAATGGGGTAGCCTGGACATGTTTAAATGCTGGTAATGGGGTAGCCTGGACATGTTAGGTGCTGATAATGGGGTAGCTTGGACATGTTAAGTGCTGGTAATGGGGTAGCCTGGACATGTTATGTGCTGATAATGGGGTAGCCTGGACATGTTAAGTGCTGGTAATGGGGTAGCCTGGACATGTTAAGTGCTGATAATGGGGTAGCCTGGACATGTTAAGTGCTGGTAATGGGGTAGCCTGGACATGTTAGGTGCTGGTAATGGGGTAGCCTGGACATGTTAGGTGCTGGTAATGGGGTAGCCTGGACATGTTAGGTGCTGGTAATGGGGTAGCCTGGACATGTTAGGTGCTGGTAATGGGGTAGCCTGGACATGTTAGGTGCTGGTAATGGGGTAGCCAGGACATGTTATAGTGTTAACAATAACTCACTCGTGTAGCAACAACAGTCTGGCAAAACATCTGTGACTTCTAGAGAAACAAGGAACAGGTCCATCATAATAATATAAGTCAGTATTAATAACACCACGTGCCTGGCAGCACTTCTCGTGACCAGCCTCCGCTCTGTTGTTGACCTTTGTAACACCTGTGGTGTGAGGTTGAGATACAGCGTCACACACTGTGATGGATGCTACACTGTGAGAGATCACTCTAAACTGACGTAAAATGAAGTTAAAGGAGTTGTGAATATTTAGACTTCATTCAGAGATCTTCAGCAGACACGTGTACATGTTACCGGAAGAGTTGCAAATGGTGTCACAACCTTCAGTACTTGTGTGTTGCAGTGCATGTTGATGCTATTTGCAACATTCGTAAACATAACAGATATAATCAACAAAGGAAGAAGTTAGACTCAGTAATAACTTGTAAAATTGGTATCTTTCGTTCCTTCGCTAAATCAACAAGTGTGATATTTATAAACGTACAAGGTTTCTGAACACAATCCAACTTAATAATGAACAGTGAATACGCACAATCACGAAGAACCAGAGAGTCACATTAATATGCACCAGTGGCAGACTGGGGAGTCTTGGTGGTGAAATAAATGACTTGATACAGTAATGGGCAATCCCCACAAATCAACTCTGACAAGTCAGAATGCCACAGCACATTCGCCGACCTTGGGTGGCACACTGACACTGGCTCTGGTGACTGTGTTTACAGATACGAAAGAGCACTACAGAAGTGGTGCTTGGTCTTGTGTGTGTGTGTATGTGTATGTACTGACCTATTTGTGGCTGCAGGAGTCGATTTGAAGCTCCTGGCCCCGCCTCTTTACTGGTCGCTACTACCTATTTGTTCCACTTCTAGTAATAATATAATTACTACTATTGTTATTATAATTACTATTCTAATTATTTCTGTAATTACTGCTGCAGTTACTACTAACACTATAATTGCTGCTATAACTACTGCTACTACTATTACTGCGGCTATTACTACTGTTTATACTTATACTGATAACATTCTCCTGTTATAAAGGACTGCAATAATTGATATTAAAAATACAATATCCATTGTTCATCTGGACGAGGCGCACAGATGTACATCTGACTTGTTTTTTTCTTCGGCTGATAGATTTGCACTGACCGTTCCATTAGTAACTATCAACTGACTGATATTTCCTCTCTCTCTCTCTCTCTCTCTCTCTCTCTCTCTCTCTCTCTCTCTCTCTCTCTCTCTCTCTCTCTCTCTCTCTCTCTCTCTCTCTCTCTCTCTCAACAGTCAACAGGATGAGGTGGCGACGCATGGTGAAGCGGGTGCTGGTGGCTCTGCTCTTCCTGTGCATGACCATCAAGATCCACCTGGAGCTGTGGATGCTGGACTCCAACAAGAGCAGTGGGTCGTTCTCCCCGTGGTGGAGCAACCAGACTCGGGTTCACCTCAGAGCCTTCGCTGAGCTCACACGCTCTAACGAAGCTCTTGAGCCAACTCTTCAGGGAGTGGAGACGCAGGTGAAGCTCTCCAACTCACGTATTCTGGAAGTGTAGCTCTCCAACGCACGTACTCTGGAAGTGAAGCTCTCCAACACACGTACTCTAGAAGTATAAACAGTTTACAAAACACATCATTGAACAATGCCACTTTACCTAGAAATAATTTAACCGTTTCCAGAAATAATACAATAAATAATATAATAAACAGAAGCCTAAATCTAGAAAATGTTAGCTCTTCTTTCGCGAATTATAAAAACATTTCTAATGCAAAATTTGAGATTTTGAAACAAATATTGAAACAAGTACAGCAATTAGTTAACAACTCACTGAATGGCAAGTACAATGGTAGTGCAGCAACACTGAACAATTGCTCAGCAGTGAATGAGAGTCCAAGTGAAGAAAATAGGAACAACGTGACTGTTGGTGCTCGCCGAGGCATGGCTGCAAACATGTTGATTAAAAGAAACATATTTGCCAAGCTCGGTATATGGGACAGCAAAAATGAAACAAAAATTGATTACGTGAACACAGATTTTACTGAGATTAGTTCCCAACACACCAATGACAGAGTTAGTGCACATAATGAGATAAGTGACAAGGAAGCAGGATCTGTGAGCTCTAAGCCGACCTCACCATCAAAAAACATAAATGCTGTGAAAGAAAAGGCCCTTCCGCCAACAAAGAATCATGTATTTAAAACGCCCTCCATCATAGCACCTAATAAAGGATTGTCTCATGAAGTAGATGCCACAGAGGTATCGCTCGCCAAGGATGCCATTGTGATGATAAAGAAGCAGGTGGCCCTTGCGAATGAAGAACAGAAGGTGTACAACGAGGAACGCTACGGCGCCGTCAGCAGCAACACTACCATCCTGCTGGTGCAGGTTAGTTGAACACTCAACTTGTCAACCATTTTCTCTCTCTGAGGATAATGTAAATAGAATTAATCCGTTCCAGACCCCAAATGATTATATAATGATTTATTAATAATAATGTACTAGCTACTACAGAAAACAATGTATAAAATTACAGAGGACAGGGAGGCTGTAAAAATGAATATTAAATGAAAATTTAACTGCCTCTTACCTGTCAGAGGAGAGCTAATTGACAAAATTCTAGCGGCTTCAAATCTTGAGGGAGAAGGTTGGTAGGCCTACATGTGAGAGAATGGGTCTGCATGATCAGTGTGTTAACTATAAAAAAAATCCTGCAGTACAGAGTGCATAATGAAAAAAAAAACTGCGACCGTGTTTTTGGTTTAAAACAGCGACTTTGCCGTGTATTTTCGTATGGTATTTATGGTTGCATTCTCGTTTTCCTGGCCTCATTTGATAGAATAGAAGATATTTTACAGAAATAGACATGATTCTGAATGCTTTACAGACTAAAAGGAGCTTGAAATTGAGTTCAAAATACCGAAATTGTTCGATTTTTGCCGATGTTCAAGAGTAAATAACCACGTCACTCGTCCAGTGCACGACTGGTGATGCTAATATACATTCACAAATGCGCTGATATTATTTATACAATTATTACAATTATGCAGTAGTCTGAGTAACAGTAAATCTTTTATTTTTTGTGTGTGAATAAAAATTCAAAATTAAAAGCAAGAGTAATATAAGAGGAGCCTGGAGACGTGACTAATGAACGGAGAGAATGTTAGTTTAGTGCCAGGATGCAGTGTTTATTCTGGACCCTATTTTGAAACTGGCTTTTCTTGAATTTTGTGGGAAATTAACTATATTAGTAATTACAGATCGCTTTATTGGGTAGTTGAAATAGATAAATGGGCAGCTTCCTGTACTCAGTCGACAGAATGAAAGGAATTCTAGCGAAATAGCTATGAGTTTGGTCGACTTGAACAATGGAACTGGCCCAAAATAGGGCTTAAATTGGGCGAAATCGCCAATGCGTAAATATCGCCGAGACCGATAACTTCGCCATAGTGTAATTCCGTACGTTTTCCATCAAATTTCGTACTTTTGGTTTCATTACCTTCGGAAAAAGATTGTCTATCATTTCATAATTTGTTTTTGTTTTCAAAATTGTTCGACCTCATGAGTGTTGTTGGTCGACAACCAAGAGCACATTCCGAATTCCTTGCTCGAGAGGTAGTGCGTTCGATAACTGAGGTTCCACTGTATATACACACACACACAACACACACACACATATATATATATATATATATATATATATATAATATATATATATATATATATATATATATATATATATATATATATATATTATATATATTCAACAAGATAATGTGAGTAGTCACGAAAGCGCTTGGAATTTCTCTATTCTTTCAGAGTGGTTGTTTTGCATATATATATATATATATATATATATATATATATATATATATATATATATATATATATATATATATATATATATATATATATATATATATATATATATATATAATATAATATTATTTATATATATATATATATATATATGAATGACAGCTCTAAATCTTTCGTGTAGCATCAGTACTTTGTCAAGAACTTGGAACAGTGAAACAGTAGTGGAAAGCGTGTGTGTGTGTGTGTGTGTGTGTGTGCACTCACCTATATGTAGTTGAAGGGGTCGATTCATAGCTCCTGGTTATGAATGGTATGTGTGTGTGTATACATGTATATGTTGACTGATCAAATGAGTAAGATATGTTTGGTTGGCAGGTACACAACCGCCTGGAGAACCTGAGGTACCTGGTGGAGAGCATGAAGAAGGTACGAGGCATCGAGGAGACGCTAGTGATCTTCAGCCACGACTTCTGGGACGCCGCCATCAACGACTTCGTCAGGAACATCAGCACCTTCCGGGTGATGCAGATCTTCTTCCCCTTCTCCATACAGTTGCACCCGTTCTCCTATCCTGGGAGAGACCCGCGAGATTGCTCCTGGAATGTGCCCAGGTAGGTTGAGAGGAAGGAGATCCCAGACCAAAGATGACAAACAATACCATTGTTAATGCATTTCGCTTCGTATAAACCTGGTTAACTAACATTTATTTACGATTTTCTTGAGGGCACATGAGTATATTTGGCATGTAAAATGCACTTTATGTGTATTTAACCAGAAATAGTGTTTGTATGTGCTCAAGTGCGTCTCTGTTATATAGTAATGGATATCAGAAAATATTTTCCAGTGGTAACGATAAAATAGTTATAATCATAATAATAATTTTTAAAAGGCGAACCGGTAAGCCAGCGGAAGTTCTCGATCAGATGACCGATAGCTCCAGCTGCGGGTCATCATATGACTAAGACCCGCTTCAGGAAACACTTGTACTGTTTCTTGACGAACCTTACCTAACCAGTGGAAATATTTTACCTCACACTCACTTTAATGGGTTATCCTAGACTAAATCTATTTTGTGTATCACTAATTTATGCCTACATAATACAGGTGGCATCAAAATTTTTGTGCAGATTTATTCATCCTATGACGTAGTGGGTGGCCCGGTATCCTAGTGGAAGACCTCGGTCACATGACTAGAAGCTTCAATTAACGAGTCATAATACGAGTGAGGCAGTTTCTTCTTGATTCGTCGGTACTCTCCCGGCCCGGGTCGTTTCCAGATGGTGACCCGGCCTGGGCTCCCTGTCTTGGGAGTGTCCGAGACCTATGTCTGCCATGGGAGGAGGTACAAATATCTCCTCATCTTCTGAGACCAACTGTCCCCAGGCCTAGCCCCATTCACCGCCCTCACGGGGCTCGTAGGGAGAAGCTAGGCCTCTGGTCTGCCATCTTCCTCGCCCCAGGGAAGCTCGTGGGAATGGCAGTCTTGTGAGCGGCAGATGGCCAATTATTAAGGCAGTACTTGATTCCAGACAAATAAAATACCACTGTAGTACTAACCTGTAAAATAATTTGTAGATCTCGCAAATAAAACCAATCTTGTTATACCTTATTATTCAACCTTTCCATCAACTCTGTTGATCAGACCATTAAAGAATAGTTTACCTTCTGTTTTTCCTTCATAACTGAGTTTGATGACAGGATGCAAATCGTCCAATTTATCCAAGAACATATGGAAAAGTTACCCTTCTGTCCACACTGAGAGGATGATGTCATGCACATATCTCAGCCAAATTTGATGATATACAATATGTAGTAATAGTTTAATCTCAAAGTATTCCATAGACAAATTAGTTACGAATGTGCTAAACGAATATCATAGCAAAACCGTAATGTATATTATTCTCAGAAATTCTTCATATGGACTTTATTTAGACATATCGAAAATTCAAATGCAGTGTTCCTCTGATTACATCGTCTAAAACTTTTATAAGTTGTCTTATGAATGTATATAATTTTTATATATAACTCTTATATTTCATACCATCATTAATGTGTTTATAACAACTGAATAAATTTTTAAATAGTCCTACACGGATCTAATGTTCTATTTGTAGTTTTTTCTTTAAACTTTTGGCCGTTTCCCAGTTTCTTTGGAATTCATTGTATAAGGATATACAAATACATACAATACATACAATACATACAATACAAATGCAAATACAAATTTTTATTTCCTTGCAAGTTTATATTGAGATTATGTAATTACAATAATGAGTTGCAGTACCAAGATCCACTGTCATACCATGGTATTATGGCCAGACTAAATTAATGGCTTACACACTACTCAATACTACAGAAATTGATCATAGTTTGTTTAAGTTGTACATTTGTTTTTATTTATAACAGACAGTAAGTTTACTCAACTTACAATCTGGTGATATTACATTGAGACAATTTGAAAATATTTTGTAGGTTGTGTATATCAATAGTAAATATTTAAATATATTATGGGAATATAATGTAACCACCCCAATAGAAGTAAGTTACTTAGTCTGACTTTTGTTTTTTGGGGGGAAAGGGGGTAATCTTATATAATTTACACTAGAGATGTTTCGAATATCCACATCCGCGAAACATCCGCACATTTTTCTTACATCCGCATCCGCAAAATAAGTAAGACATCCCCATACACATCCGCATCCGGGGATACCTAAATTTTCACATCCGATACATATCTAATTTACACATAAGTTACTATATATGATAATTTGTGTCACTGTATTTATGTGTACCTGTACTTAAACAAACTTTCTTAGGAGAGTCTTGCTTCCCCACAGAGTCGAGGAAATGCAGTGTCTGAACCACAGGTGGCCGGATACTTACGGGCACTACAGGGAAGCTTCCTTCACACAGATTAAACATCATTGGTGGTGGAAGATACACAGGTGAGAGATATACAGGTGAGAGTTATACAGGTGAGAGATATACAGGTGAGAGTTATATAGTTGAGAGATACACAGGTGAGAGATATACAGGTGAGAGTTATATAGTTGAGAGATACACAGGTGAGAGATACACAGGTGAGAGATATACAGGTGAGAGATATACAGGTGAGAGTTATACAGGTGAGAGATATACAGGTGAGAGTTATATAGTTGAGAGATACACAGGTGAGAGATATACAGGTGAGAGTTATACAGGTGAGAGATATACAGGTGAGAGTTATATAGTTGAGAGATACACAGGTGAGAGATATCACAGGTGAGAGATATACAGGTGAGAGATATACAGGTGAGAGTTATATAGTTGAGAGATACACAGGTGAGAGATACACAGGTGAGAGATATACAGGTGAGAGATATACAGGTGAGAGTTATATAGTTGAGAGATACACAGGTGAGAGATACACAGGTGAGAGATATACAGGTGAGAGATATACAGGTGAGAGTTATATAGGTGAGAGATACACAGGTGAGAGTACACATGGTGGAGATATACATGAGAGAATAGTGAGAGATACACAGGTGAGAGTTAACAGTGAGAGATTACGGTGAAGAATAGTGAGAGAACACAGGTGAGAGATAACAGGTGAGAGATATACAGGTGAGATAAGTAAATATATAGTTGAGAGATAAACAGGTGAGAGATACACAGGTAGATAACAGGAGAGATATACAAGTGAGAGATATGGTGAGAGTATACAGGTGAGAGATATATAGGTGAGAGATATACAGGTGAGAGATACACAGGTGAGAGATATACAGGTGAGAGATATACAGGTGAGAGATATATAGGTGAGAGATATACAGGTGAGAGATATATAAGTGAGAGATATACAGGTGAGAGATATACAGGTGAGAGATATACAGGTGAGAGAGATATAAGTGAGAGATATACAGGTGAGAGATATACAGGTGAGAGATATATACAGGTGAGAGATAACAGGTAGAGATATACAGTGAGAGATATACAGGTGAGAGAGATATAGAGTGAAGATACACAGGTGAGAGATATACAGGTGAGAGTTATACAGGTGAGAGATATATAGGTGAGAGATATACAGGTGAGGATAATACAGGTGAGAGATACAAGGTGAGAGATAAGGTGAGAGACACGGATGAGAGATATACAGGTGAGAGATATACAGGTGAGAGATATATAGGTGAGAGATATACAGGTGAGAGATACACAGGTGAGAGATATACAGGTGAGAGATACACAGGTGAGAGATATACAGGTGAGAGATATACAGATGATAGATATACAGGTGAGGAGATATACAGGTGAGAGATATATAGGTGAGAGACACACAGGTGAGAGATACACAGGTGAGAGATATACAGGTGAGAGATATACAGATGAGAGATATACAGGTGAGGGATCAAGTGAAGATAAAGGCAGGATACACAGGAGAGAGATATATAGGTGAGAGAATACGCAGGTGAGAGATACACAGGTGAGAGATATAAGGTGAGAGTACACAGGTGAGAGATATTAGGTGAGAGATATACAGGTGAGAGATACACAGGTGAAGAATTACAGGTGAGAGGATACACAGGTGAGAGATATACAGGTGAGAGATATACAGGTGAGGATAACAGGTGAGAGAGATATAGGTGAGAGATACACAGGTGAGAGATATACAGGTGAGAGATACACAGGTGAGAGATATAAGGGAGAGATAACAGGGAGAGAGATTATAGGTGAGAGATATACAGGTGAGAGATACACAGTGAGTATTACGGAGGATAGGGTGATAGATGAGAGATATACAGGTGAGAGATACACAGGTGAGAGATATACAGGGAGAGATACACAGGAGAGATATATAGGTGAGAGATAACAGGTGAGAGATATACAGGTGAGAGATATACAGGTGAGAGATACACAAGGTGAGAGATATACAGGTGAGAGGAATACACAGGGAGAGATATACAGGTGAGAGATATACAGGTAGAGATATACAGAGGTTAGAGATATACAGGTGAGAGATACACAGGTGAGAGATATACAGGTGAGAGATACACAGGTGAGAGATATACAGGTGAGAGATACACAGGAGAGAGATATATAGGTGAGAGATATACAGGCGAGAGATACACAGGTGAGAGATATACAGGTGAGAGATACACAAGTGAGAGATATACAGGTGAGAGATACACAGGTGAGAGATATATAGGTGAGAGATATACAGGTGAGAGATACACCGGAGAGAGATATATAGATGAGAGATACACAGGTGAGAGATACACAAGTGAGAGATATACAGGTGAGAGATACACAAGTGAGAGATATACAGGTGAGAGATACACAGGTGAGAGATATATAGGTGAGAGATACACAGGTGAGAGATATACAGGTGAAAGATACACAGGAGAGAGATATATAGGTGAGAGATATACAGGTGAGAGATACACAGGGGAGAGATATACAGGTGAGAGATACACAGGAGAGAGATATATAGGTGAGAGATATAAGGTGAGAAATATACAGGTGAGGGATACACAGGAGAGAGATATACAGGTGAGTGATACACAGGTGAGAGATATACATGTGAGAGATATACAGGTGAGAGATATACAGGTGAGAGATATACAGGTGAGAGATATACAGATGAGAGATATACAGGTGAGAGAGATATAGGTGAGAGATATGCAGGTGAGAGATATACAGGTGAGAGATATACAGGTGAGAGATATACAGGTGAGAGATACACAGTGAACACAAGGTTTTCAAGTGTGAGAGTTTTCCTTGTAAGACAACACTAGTAAGACAACACTAGTAAGACAACACTAGTAAGTAACACTGTAAGACAACACTAGTAAGACAACACTAGTAAGACAACACTAGTAAGACAACACTAGTAAGACAACACTAGTAAGACAACACTAGTAAGACAACACTAATAAGACAACACTAGTAAGACAACACTAGTAAGACAACACTAGTAAGACAACACTAGTAAGACAACACTAGTAAGACAAAACTAGTAAGACAACACTAGTAAGACAACACTAGTAAGACAACACTAGTAAGACAACACTAGTAAGACAACACTAGTAAGACAACACTAGTAAGACAGCACTAGTAAGACAACACTAGTAAGACAACACTAGTAAGACAACACTAGTAAGACAACCCTAGTAAGACAACACTAGTAAGACAACACTAGTAAGACAACACTAGTAAGACAACACTAGTAAGACAACACTAGTAAGACAACACTAGTAAGACAACACTAGTAAGACAACACTAAGTCATGTTTGTAGTGTTATGTGTTATTAAATTAATAACATTGTTGCTATTGTCCGAGGCAGAGATTGGCAGGCCTGTGTGTGATCCTCTGGGGTTGGCAGGCCTCTGTGTGATCCTCTGGGGTTGACATGCCTCTGTGTGATCCTCTGGGGTTCGAAAGCCTCTGTGTTATACTCTGGGCTTGGCAAGCCTCTGTGTGATCCTCTGGGGTTGGCAAGCCTCTGTGTGAGCCTCTGGGGTTGGCAAGCCTGTGTGGGATCCTCTGGGGTTGGCAAGCCTTTCTGTGATCCTCTGGGGTTGGCAGACCTTTGTGGGATCCTCTGGGATTGGCAAGCTTCTCTGTGCGATCCTCTGGGATTGGAAGGCCTCTCTGTGCTCCCCTGGGGTTGGCAAGCCTCTCTGTGATCCTCTGGGGTTGGCAACCCTCTCTGTGATCCTCCGGGGTTGGAAAGCCTCTGTGTGATTCTCTGGGGTTGGCAAGCCTTCCTGTGATCCTCTAGGGTTGGCAAACATTTATGTGATCCTCTGGGGTTGGCAAGCCTCTCTGTGATCCTCTGGGGTTGGCAACCCTCTCTGTGATCCTCCGGGGTTGGGAAGCCTCTGTGTGATCCTCTGGGGTTGGCAAGCCTTCCTGTGATCCTCTGGGGTTGGCAAACATCTCTGTGATCCTCCGGGGTTGGGAAGCCTCTGTGTGATCCTCTGGGGTTGGCAAGCCTCTCTGTGATCCTCTGGGGTTGGCAAGCCTCTGTGTGATCCTCTTGGGTTGGCAAGCCTCTATGTGATCCTCTGGGGTTGGCAAACCTCTGTGTAATCCTCTAAGGTTGGCAAGCCTTTCTGTGATCCTCTGGGTTTGGCAAGCCTCTGTGTGATCCTCTGGGGTTGGCAAGCCTTTCTGTGATCCTCTGGGGTTGGCAAGCTTCTCTGTGATCCTCTGAGGGTGGCAAGCCTTTCTGTGATCCTCTGGGGTTGGCAAACATCTCTGTGATCCTCCTGGGTTGGGAAGCCTCTGTGTGATCCTCTGGGGTTGGCAAGCCTTCCTGTGATCCTCTGGGGTTGGCAAACATCTCTGTGATCCTCCGGGGTTGGGAAGCCTCTGTGTGATCCTCTGGGGTTGGCAAGCCTCTCTGTACTCCTCTGGGGTTGGCAAGCCTCTGTGTGATCCTCTTGGGTTGGCAAGCCTCTATGTGATCCTCTGGGGTTGGCAAACCTCTGTGTAATCCTTTAAGGTTGGCAAGCCTTTCTGTGATCCTCTGGGTTTGGCAAGCCTCTGTGTGATCCTCTGAGGTTGGCAAGCTTCTCTGTGATCCTCTGGGGTTGGCAAACCTCTGTGTGATCCTCTAGGGTTGGCGGACCTCTCTGGGATCCTCTGGGGTTGGGAAGCCTCTGTATGATCATCTGGGGTTGGCAAGCCTTTCTGTGATCCTCTGGGGTTGGCAAGCCTCTGTGTGATCCTCTGGGTTTGGCAAGCCTTTCTGTGATCCTCTGGGTTTGGCAAGCCTCTGTGTGATCCTATGGGGTTGGCAAGCCTCTTTTTGATCCTCTGGGGTTGGCAGGCCTCTCTGTGATCCTCCGATCCATTTCCTCTAATACAACACTAGAGGTATTACGGTCACTGCGTGATCCAGAGAGGTATCCCAGTATTACGGTCACTGCGTGATCCAGAGAGGTATCCCAGTATTACGGTCACTGC